TTGAATCTTTACAAGTGGCAACCATTTTGGATTTTAAAGTGATAGCATTCTCATTCGGATTCCAGGGACCTAAGGATAGGCTCTGTTTGCCAAGGCTGGCAGGGACATATGAGAGGCTGACAACAGGAAAGGAGACAGGTGGTAAGGGTATAAGTGCTGTCAACTAGTGAATACAGGAGCACAGCACAGTACCCTGCTTATATAGATAGCATACAAACAAAACGAAAATCGTGGGCAAGTCACTCCAACATACAATGACCAATTAAATATAAACACAAAAATATTACAATGCTTCAGAAACAACAGAGCATTACAGTCCACACAAAGAAGCAAGATAAAGCAGGAGAAACAAGGGACCAGGATACAGACCCAGAACACATCCCTGAGAAAGATGCAGCATTGGAACTCCCTGACAAGGAATTCAAAAGAATTATGTTTAGGTATCTTCAACGAATTGAGAGACAGATCAAGGAAAACACAGAGAAAACCCTAGAACAATTTTGAAAGACAATACAAGAACAAAATGACAAAAATGAAAAATTAGAAATGATATAAAATCTACACACAGAAATCCAGAAGATTAATACCAAATTTTCAGAAATAGATAAGACATTGAATGGGCAAAGGAGCAGACAGATTGAATCAATGGCAGACAGAATTAGGGAGACTCAAGGCAAATACCTGAACACTTCTTTGGAAAGGGATCAATCAGAAAAAATATCAAAATTAAATGAAGAAAGCCTAAGGTTCATGTGGTATACCATCAAAAGGAATAACCTACATGTAATCGGAATTCCAGAACAGGAAGAGACAAATAAAACCACAGAGAAAACTGTCAAAGATTTGTTGGAAGAGAATTTTCCTGGTATCATGAAAAATGAGAATACATCCACTCAGGAAGTCCAACAAAACCCAAACAGGATAGACCCCAAAAGAAAATCACCCAGACATATCATCATCAAACTTACTAAAACCAAAGACAAAGAAAGAATCATGAGAGCAGCATGGGAAAAACAAAAAGTTACCTACAAGGGGCAACCTAAGCTCAGATTTCTCAGCAGAAACCATGCAGGTGAGAAGACAATGGGATGGTATATATAAAAACACTGAAAAAGAAAAAATTCTAACCAAGAATTATGTACCCAGCAAAACTGTCCCTCAAATATGATGGTGAAATTAGGACATTTCCAGATAAGCAGAAATTAAGGGAGTTTGTTAAAGCTAGACCAACCTTACAAGAGGTGCTAAAGGGAGCCCACTGGACAGAGAAGCAACAAGAGCCAACAACAACTGACCATTAACACACATGATGATATAACCCAGAAACCAACCCACCTATAGAAGTATCCAAAGTAAATAAGCCTACAAGATTGTAAATAGGGAACCAGAGACATCAATTGACAAATGAGGACAACTACAAACCAAAAAGAGGGAAAAAACTGTGTCGTTACAGAACTTCTAGATGGTAGGGAAGTCAAGACAACTACAAGATAGAACAGACTGCTCTAAACTTGGGAAGAAAACTATAAATCACAAGGTAACCTCAAAGAAAAATGATAAACCTTCACATCAAAAAGAGGACCAGCATAAATATTCAGCAAATACTAAAACAACAGCAATGAAGGAAGTGATAACACGACTCATAAACAAAATGAGCTCAGCATAGAAAATTATATGGGACAAAGAACTAGACACCACGTAAAAGCACGTAACAAAAATGACAGCAACGAATTCATATTTGTCAATAGTTATGTATTTGGCAAGAGACTTATCTCTAAGATTCATAGCAGAAAAGTGGATGACCAAACTATGGTACATACACATAATGGAATGCTAAATAGCACTAAAGAATAATGTAGAGTCTGCAAAACACTGCATAAAATGGATGAACTTGGAGGGCATTATGCTGAGTGACATAAGTCAATCACAGAAGGACAAATATAGTATTAGTTCCTTGTTGTGGAGGGTCAAGGAAAGGTTTATATATGGAGGCAAACTTTCTTTGTTGGTTGCCAGGGGTGGGAGGAGAGGGGACGGAACACTGCAAAAAAAAAAAAAACCACTGACCCATGTCACTTTAGTTTTGTGTATTCCACTATACATAAATTATATTTCAATAAAATGCACTAACTAAAAAGAAAGAAGTGGGGACAATGCAACAAGGAAGAGACCTCCATGCAATCAGGGCAGAAGCAGGGTGAGAACACTGAGGAAATCAGACTGCCCTCTGGAAGAAACTGGGCAGTGGGAATGGAGAGGTGGAGACAGAGGCTGGGAAAGAAATTAGGCTGCAGGCCTGGAAAACCCAAGGCTCTGGCCACAAGACAAGACTAGGGAAAACTGGGCTGCAGGTATGGAATGAATCAGGCTGTGACGGGATGAAAAACAGGCTGTGGGCTTGGAAGGAGAACTAGATGCAAGGAGTAAAGTGACTCCAGAGTGGAGGAAACAAGGCAGTGGGTGTGAGAGGAATGCGGGCTGCAGTCAGGGCGTGGAGGGAATTGCGGGAATTGAAGAATTCAAATCAGACTGTGGCTTCTAAGAATCAGCGTAAACAAACCCCAGACCTCTGCTTCCTCCAGTCAAGGTGAGTCTGAGGGAGGGTCGTGGGGGTGAGGGGTGAGTGAGCAAACTGAATCCCCTTTTGTCCCCAAGAGCTTCATTTCTAACCAAACAGCTCATGTTTCTAGCATCTCTGAGGACCCTGGCAGAGAATGAAGTTCACCTCTGATGCTCCAGGACCTCTACTTTAATGTACCTTTCCCAGGTGTCTCAGGGTCTTTAACAAAGGAAGACACCGCCCCCCGAGGATGAGGCTTGGATGGCCACGTATCCTGAATTGCCTGGGACTGTCCCAATTTCAAATATTTTGTCCTGTTGCCCATAAATCAAGAAATACCAGCATTAATAGTGCCTCAGTAGGCAAGGCACTCTTTCCAGGCAAAGCACTCTTCAGGGGCTTCTGTCAGACCAGAGGGACTGCTTAACTCTGGGGTGTGGAGAGCATCGTTTACCCTACACTAACAGCTGCACTCTGCTGAGTCCTTGAGTTCCTGTACTTTGAGCGATACAAAGCTTGGGCTTTGGTGCTAACAAACCTGGGCTTGAATCCTGGCCTACCACCTAGAGATAGCCTTGGGCAAGTCACTCAAAGCCTATTTTCTCACTTGTGAAATGGGGCTAATACCCTTCCTCATAGGGCAGTGTTGTTGTTAGGTGCCGTCAACTCACAGTGACCCTATGTAGAACAGAATGAAACCGCCCATCCTTGCTATATCTGAGCCCATCACTGCAGACAAAGTTTCAGGGCTATTCATAAAGTTTTTCAGTAGTGTATCAGATACAATGTTTCATTGCTATTCATAACGTTCTCATTGGCCAATTCTTTGAGAAGTAGAAGGTCCTCCCTTCCTTCTCCCAAGTCTGTCTTAGTCTGGAAGCTCCAATGAAACCTGTCTACCATGGGTGACCCTGCTGGTATTTGAAATACTGGTGGCATAGCCTCCAGCCTCACAGCAACATGCAAGCCACGACAATATGACAAACTGACACAGGTGTGGTGGTCGCAGGACAGTACTGAGGATTATATGATCCAGTATGTAAAGGGCCTGGGACTAAGCCTGGCTGCTTTTCCAGGTACCCTGGTCATCTTCCCTCTGCTCTGCTCACACTGGTGGTCTTGCTCTGCTTTATGGAGCTAAATACTCCAGAGAGAGGGGCTGAGGAGAGAACATCCCAGAACTAAGGGGGGACTGACTGAGGAGTGGACAGGGCTCCCAGGCCCAGAACTGAAGATGTATTCATACTGGGAGAGAAAGAGAGAACAGAAAGTACTCCTCACAAGGGTAAACAGGAGGCCAGGCTACATTAACAGAGATATAATGTGCAAAGAGAGGGAGATGAGGGTCCTTGTCTTATGTGCCCTGCTCTAGCCATGGCAGCCAGGCCTGCCTAGAAGTCCTCAAGAGACATAAGGGGAAGGAAGGGGCTACAAACACTGGTAGGGCAGATGCAGGAGTTGTGGCTAGCCCACTGGACTCGGAGTCTTGGTCTCTGCTGCCATCTCTGCAGAGGCCTCTATGCTTTTTGGCCCAAGGCATAGCTGGAGTTTTCTCCTAGGAGAAATATCCCTCTAGGGACAACTCTGGTAGCATAGTGCCTAAGGCACTTGACTGCTAACCAGAAGGCTGGTGGTTCAAACCCCCCAGCCACTCCTCGGAAGGAAGGTTGGGCAATCTACTTCCGTAGTGATACTGTCTCAGCAACCCGAGGAAGAGATGCTATGAGTCGGGTCTGACTCGACAGCACATAACAACAACAGGGACAGGACAGTCCCCAGGGAGGAGAGTGGTGAGTTCCCCTCCCCCAAGCCCTACTGTCATCAAGTTGATTTTGACTCATAATGACCCTAAAGGACAGAGTAGAACTGCACCCTAGTGTTTTGAAGGCTGTAAATCTTTATGGAAGCAGACTGCCTCATCTTTCTCTCATGGAGCAGCTGGTGGGTTCAAGCCACTGACCTTTTGGTTAGCAGCCCAGTGCCTTAACCACTGTGCCACCATAGCTCCCTTTCTCCTCTCCAAGGGTAGGCAAACAAGGGCTGAGCAGCCAGCGGGGACTCCTACCCCAGGTGAGGAGTATCCACAGGCCTCTGCAACTCTACCCTGACATTGTAGGATTAGTAATAAAGACACTCCAATAGCCCTGGCACTCTCTAACTTTGGAAAGAGTGACTCTCAAGGTGAAGGGAGATGAAGATTAGATCTCCAACTTAAACCTGGGAGCCTCCACGGTTAGCTCCATAGCTGAGGCCTATGGAAAATTCTAGAGTATGGCATATGGGGACCCTATCTTGGGGGAAGGACCCTGAGACTGTGGTGGAGATGATGAGTAGGAGCCTAGGCCACAGGCCCCATGGTAGGGGCCAGTGCCAACTTGCAAGGGGGCAGAAATCCATGCCTGGAGACAGCTGGGAGCCCTGGCCATGTCTCACCTGATCCCACCCGGTTCACTTAGCCCCCAGGTGGTGTAAGGCAGCTGGCAGTCAACCCACAGCTACTTACAGTCTCAGGGCCCCCGCTCCATGGCCTCTGGCTCTGTTTGATAGAGGATCAGGGTTATGGAAGCAAGAGTCCCAAGTCTAGAGTCAGGATAGTGTGTGCAGTGGTGAGTGGTAGGCTATGGCAAAGATGAGGGAGTGGGGAGTGAGGTGCCGGGATGGTATCTGGTCTTAAGGACAGTGGCATGTGGACAGAGTAGGCGTGGAGTGTGGGCCAGAAGGGGTATAGCCTGGGAAGTGATAGCACATTGGGCCACAACTCAGGGTAGTCACCATGTAGCATGTTCTTGTGGGTACAGTGAAAAAGGCACAGGCACAGGTGAGACAGTTGTATGTGGTACAATGGGTCTGCAGGTTTCTTGAAAATATTTCACTTGCAGACCAAGGGGATGTGTGTGCATGGGTGTCTGAGCATACGAAAGGGTGTAGGTACCCAGCCCAGAGCAGAACCCAAGCACAGCCACTCACCCGGATCTCCTTGTAGAGCCGCAGGCAGCTGCTGTTGAGGATGAAGTAGCGATCGTGGAAGCCACCAGAGGGCAGGCCCAGGCCCAGGAGGCTTCGGTCCTCGCGGAACTTCATCATGCCATGCTTAGTGTCACCTACACGGCTGGCTACAGGGGGGACTGGAGTGAGCATGGCAACACCAACCCCTATGCATAGACCCAGACCCCCTAGGCAGGGTTGCAGAATGAAGAAAACTGCCCCTATAGAGACCTGCCTACCTGGTACCTTCTGCTCCTGTATCACCAGGTCCCACCCTGCATCTGGATAGAGGGACCCACCCAGCCTGTCTCCGCCCTGAAGACACCACTTACCCAGGTACAGCATTATGGCCTCCATGGACTGGTACTTCTTCACCACCAGGTAGCTATCTGTGCCCAGCCCATGCAGAATTGGCAGCACCTTCTCCGCAAAGTGCAGGGGGCGCTCTGGAGAGAGGACCCACTGTCACCAGGGCTACATGGCCTGACACCACCAAGAGGGCCAGCACACAGACCGCACATACCCACTGTCACCATCCATCCCCACTGCCCACTACTGCTGTGACACACCAGCATCACGACCACCCTTCCCATGCCCGAGCTTCAGACTTTAAACACCATGGCCGTAACCAAAATTGCTCAAATTCAACATGTCCAAGACCAAGCCCATGATCATGACCCTGGGTATCCCCATCAGAATAAAAGGCATCCCACCCACCAGGCTGCTCAAACTAGAAACAACTTCCTCCTTCCTCTAACTCTCTGCATCTCAAATCTTGAGCTTCTGTCTATCTCTACAACTACTACTCTGGTCCAAGTTACTATCTTCTCCTTAGACCATGCACTCTCACCCATCTTCTCCACATCCTTCCACCCAGCAGCAAGTAGTGGTCTTTGCAAAATCCCAATTACTTCCCTGTTATGACCTTCCAATAGTCTTGCATTGTTGTTAGGCCCTGCATGGCCAGTCTCTGCCTCTATCTCCAGCTCCAACCTCCTCTCTGCCTTTGGTTTAAGCTCCCTGCAAGCTGTATCCATATCTACTGCAGGGCTTTTGCTCACACTGTTTCCAGTACCTGGGAGCGCTTACCCCCTTCCTTCACTCAGTAACCCCAATTCTTCCTTTGCATCCCACCTCAGGGAATCTGAAGTCAGACCCTATTACACACTCTGGTGCTACCATAGACCTTTCCTTCATAGCAGTTAACAGCTGTAGCTATATGCTTATTGGTGTGATCTGGATTAACATCTCTATGTCACATCAGCCTATAAGCCCCATGAGAGTGCTTGGCACTCAACACATAATGGTCAAACAAATGAACAGATACACCCTCATTCTCCACCATCATCAAGAACAAGCTTTACCATAAAATGCATTTGCAATCACCCCCAACCTTCACTACTGTGAAGGCCAGTTCACAGCACCATCATAGCCACCCTTACCCACCATCTACCATCACCATCCTACTCTTCTTGTACACTCATCACTACCCACTACCCTGCTCATCACCAACACTGGTGTCCCTTGCAACTCTATTACCAAATTCAGCACCATCTTCCATGTAAGAAATACCATTCTTATTGTCACCTGAGAAACATCTTCAAAGCTAACACCACCTACCCCCTTTACTGTCCTTCCCATCACCCACATCACAGACATCACTCTCAAAGCCTGCCAGCACACCATCACCAAGATCACAGCCTTTGTTAGTATGGTAACAATCATCATACTCCCCTCTGCACCACCAGTGAACGTAGGGGAGAACAGACCAACCAGTCCTGCACCAAGCCCACTGGTCACTCACCTGCCTCTTCCCTCTCATTGACCTCAAAGCAGGTCCAATAGTCCTTCTCCCTGATCCCCACATTCCTGCGGTCCAGGATTTCCAGGGTGAGTTCCTCAGCTGTCATAGATGCTGGAATCTGCAGAGACCAAGGAACGGGGAGATCAGCCTCCAGCTCTGCTATAACCTTGTGTGATCCAGGGCCTAAGCCTACTCCCCTCGGGGTTCCCTGGAGTTCTGAGGCATCTCTCAGTGGTCCTGATCAGTTGTAGAGAAGGCGGGGAAAAGAATAGTCCCCAACCCAAGACTTGGGATGGAAGCCCTGCTATCCCAGCCATCTGCACTTACACCTATCCTAGCCTGACCCTTCTAGACCCTTGGCTACCAGGTCCCTGGTCCCTACCTTGATATGTTGCTCTGCCTCTGCTGCCTTCTCCTCCAGATACACAGTGCAGATGAAGTCACCAGCGTGCTGTGGGGAGACAGGGCTCAGCTGGATGCCCTGGGAGCAGTGCCGAAGCACCCCACCCCTAGGCCTCGTGCTTCACCTGGGTTCCACTGGCAGCGCCAGCCACACGCATCTTCACAATGGCAGTGATTTCCTCCCGTTGCTTTCTCAGCTCCTCCTCATCTACCTGGGAAGGGAAGAAGGACAGGGATGGATGGTCACTGATGCCTTGGAACCTCAGCCCTGCCCTCTCCTGCCCCTGGCTGGGGACTCACACTGAACACCACCACATAGTGGCCAATGAGGTCTTCTACCACACGGCCAGCCTTGTAGTCCTGTCCATCTGTCTGGAAGAGTGTGGGCCCAAACACAATAGCCAGGTTGTGTATGTTCATCTGGTTTGTGTCTGAGAAGCACTGGACACTGGACAAGGGAGAAGGAGGCTTTGAGGAGTCTGGCCAAGAACTTCCCCACCTCACCTTCCCAGCTCCTAATAGGTTCAAGACTGGCCACTGGAGTGAGGCTAGGGAAGGTCCTAATCAGAGTGGAACACTAATTGGAGTAGAGTGGCAGTCTTTCTAGTCTTGCCTTGAGTTCTGGCAAGAAGTAGGACAGGGAAGTTGGGAGATATATCAGGTACCCCAGCCCCAAAATGGAACCTCTTTTATTTTCCCACCCTGCAGGAAGTAAGCTACCAGAGAAAGAATTCAAGACCAGGGTAGACCATAAGTCCACACTCAGTCTCAAGGCCTACCTGATTCCCAGGAGAGGGAGGGCAGCCAGCCAGGTTGGGAGTTGAAGACTCTTCTCCACCCATCCCCCCAGAGCCTTGCAATGATATTGCTCCTCACCAGTACAGATGGCTGATAAGGGCCTTCACAGTAGCACGGTTGACTGGGGGTAGCTGTGCAAGAAGCTTTTGGTACCTAGAGACCTTCTCCTCCTCATCCTCGATCTCTGGGTTAGGGGAGAGAGGTTAGATCAGAAACCCCACTGTAACCATCTCTCCTGTCCCACTCTTCTGGCTGCTCTGCCTCCCATGCTCAGTGACAGCACCCCTGCCATCCTCTAAGTCACATCAGGCTACATACAGCAAGATTAGGGATTCTCTACCTGGGGACCCTGGCTCTATGTGGAGTGACAATAGAGAGAGAAGCAGAGTATGGGAGGAGGGGACCGGTACCTATTTGCTGGGGAGTGTCTAGTCCAAGGACATGATGGGGAGGAGAGAATTCTGAAGTCTGCGTGGATTACAAGTCAGCAACACTGGTAGGGGTTCAGGCAAGACCGACCTGAGGCTTCTAGCCAGGCTAGGCGGTGGGCACGAGTAAAGAGCCCATCTGGCAGGTCCCGCAGGAAGCGCTTGAGTGCTGAGGAGACGTCATCCACGTGCTGCTCGCCCTCCTTGAGGTGCACAGAGCGTGCGTCCTGCCGCAGGCTTTCCAGAAGCCTCTGGGTCTTCGAAGTCTGCCCACATTTGCGGTAAATGCCCTCAGAAGTTAGGCCTGGGAAGGGCGGGGATGAGCTTGGAGGTGGGACCAAAGTATGGGCCTGGGCCTAGGACACTGCATTGTGGGGTGGGGCCATGCAGCTGCTTTCAGAAGGATCACAGGAAGCTACAGGCATGGCCTCTAGAGAGAAGAGTAAAGGTCTCCCGGGGAGAGGCGGAGTCTGTCTTGAGGGCAGGGCAATCACGGTTGGGACCAAGCTCACCACACTGTGTGATGTAATCCACACAGCGGTAAATGATCACTGGGATGTCCGAGTCGCCAAGCTGCTGTTCCGACAGCGTGTCCCCCGAACTGGCCGCTGCTTTCTGGATGGCCCCCAGCCAGCCCGTGAAGTCCAACCTTCGTTCCCCGTGAATGTACAGTGTCCTAGGCCAGGAATAATCAATCACCGTGCGCCTACTCCAACCCTGCCCAGTCCTGTCAGGCTGCCTCCAGCTTCTCAGAGCCCCTTGGGGAGGCCATGGCTCACCTCCTTCGCTCCACCAGCACCAGCACCTGGTTGTCACTGTCCCCTTGGATGGCTGTGGAGGAGCCAATCAGAGTGAGGCCCAGACCTTGTTCATGGTCCCCAACCTGCTTCTTCCCCAGGCTCTGGGACATACCCCTGGGACCCACCCACTAGCATATGGGAGCACTAAGGTGCACCCAACTGGCAAGAGAGAGCATGAAAGGGTAGGCTGGGTCCTTCTGGCCATGCTGGGGCAGAGTTCAGACATCCAGGGAGGGGCTCCCTGAAGGTTAGGGGCTTGGGTCTGGGTCCACGCACAAAGCTCCTGAAGTTTCCGCAGCTGCAGCGGCTCCTCACAGGGCCCCTCTGGGAAGATGGCATGGAGCTCAGAGCCAGTGAGGGAGAACCAGCCCTCCTGGGTCCGCTGTAGGCTCAGGCCAGCTTTGTAGGGTAGGCGTCCAAGCCGGTCAAAATCCCGGCCCAGCAGCTCCTCAGCCAGGGGAGGGACAAATGCCTGGGGGTAGGACCGGGGAAGGAAAAAGGGTCAGAGGAGAATGGTCAGCCAACACCACTGCCTGCCCAGGATCTTCCAGCTCCTTGGCTTGTGGGTGACTGCCCCACTCCCACCTGGTGAGAGCTCTACTCCTTCCTCCACACCTCTCAGATGTGTCCTCCTCTAGAAAGCCTTCCCAGATGCCATCAGGAATGCCCACTGTCTGGACTGCCACAGCCCCAAAATATTCTTGCCCTTTGTTGTAGCGCCAAGCACGTTGTTGTTGCTGTTTGGACCTCATCTGTCTTGCCCACCAACCTGGGAGCTACTGAGGAGCTGGAGCCAAGACTGGCTCATCTAAATCCTCAGGGCTCTAAAGACTGATCCTCAGAGGTTCAACAATAAACGAGGATTCTCAGAGCACCCGGGTCTAGTCCCCAGTGCAGAGCTCTCCTCTGCAGCCTCTCTGCCTCTTCCCTCTAACCTCTGCGTGCACACCTCCAGGGGCGAGGATCTCATTCCCTGTGGAGGCAGTATTTTCCATCCTAAGATGGCTCTGACCCTCATTCATTATTAAACATTTATTGAGCACCCAAGGGGTTTAAGGGCTACAGTCCTTCTTCCCAGAGCTGAGCTAGGTCTCCTAACCTTTCCTTCCCCTTGCTCCAGGAAGCTGCAGATTATGTCAGGCCCTTGGACCAAGAAGCCCACCTGTGTCTACTGCCCTCAGTCGAGCCTCTCTGCTCTATCAGATGAGATATCTGAAAAATATGGGATCTGCCCTGCCCCGTGCCTGTCATAAGATCTCACCCTAGACCTTTTCAGGTTTCCCCTACACCCAACCCTACTAACCAAGACCTACCTTGGCAATGCACTTGACCCACTCACGAGCCAGCTCTGTACTCTCCAGCCCAAAGAGGTACAGCCGCTCTCCTTCTGTGTACACCTCAAAGGCGTACTCAAAGCTGTAGATACAAGGCTAGAACTTAGGCCAACTCTACCTGCCCCAGCTAACCCCCATCCCCACTACTGCCCTTTTCCACCCCCTCTATACTACCCTCATTCCCACCCTTCCCTTGATTGCCTAAGAGGTGGTGGGAAAGTTCTGGGCTGGGGCCTGGTTCGGCCCTTGTATAGCTCTAGCTTGTTTTGTGACCCTGGGGATGTCCTGCCCCTCCCTGGGTCTATCTCCTCCGTGGAGATGTGGCTCTTTCAGTGACAGAACAAAAACAAATGCAACCACTGCTGTGGAGTTGGATCCAACTCATAGTGACCCCTCCTTGGGTCTCCAAGGCAGTATCTTCACAGAAGTAGATTGCCCAACTTTCCTTCCAAGGAGTGGCTGGTGGGTTTGAACTGCTAGCCTTCTGGTTAGCAGTCAAATGCCTTAGGCACTATGCCACTGATAAGAGTCTGTGATTCTACCAGAGGTGCTCACCCGTGAGTATTGGGAGAGGGCACTGCCAGGCACACGATCTCATTGGTCCGAATCTCCCCATTGGGTGTCACTGCCCGCTCATTCTCGTAGTAGCTCAGGACCCCGTCGCTAAGGACACACCAGCGTCGGCTGAACTCTGGGGAGAAGTTGAGCAGGGAAGCCATGCTGAAGCCTAGCTTCTACCCTCACTTGAAAATCACCTCTGCATCCCCTCTGATCCCCCACATCCCACCCGATCCATGGCCTCTTCATTCCAACTCACAAGCTTCCCCCAAATCCATCCTCCTCTCTCCAGCCCACTGCGGTAACCCAGCCCACACAGCATCCCCTCTCCTGGACTTCTGCAGCAGCCTCCTCATTGGTTTCTCAGCCTCCAGCATCACCTCTCCAAGATTCAAGAGGGATCAAGCTAAAGTAAGACTCCATTTCTCCATTCCAAGCCCTTCCATGGCTCTCCTTTGTCTTCAGGACAAAGTCTATGGCCCTCAGCCTGGACCCATGGCCCAGCATGGGTCTGCCTCACCCACCCCTTCAGCCCTCTCTGACCACTCCTGGGCATACCCCGCTCTCCCAGCTTTTGTTGACCCTGTTCCCTCAACCCACATCTTTTGTTTGTGTTCTACTCATCCTTCAAAGCCAGCCCAAATGCCATAGAAAGCCTTCCATGCCCCATCCCCCCACTGACCTACCTGGCCCACTCTGTGCCCCTCCCACCTCTGGCATAACACCTGTGGCTCTATACCCTGCTTCTTCCCATAATGGCTCTAAGAGCTCATAAAACAAATGGCAATTTAGACCAAGAAAAGAAAAGAATGTCAAGGCCATGTAGACTTGTACAGTTCATGGCATTAAGCTTCACACTGGCTCAGAGCTTCCTGGCACCCAAGGCAAAAAGCATGACTCAGTTACATAAATGACAGAGGGAGGTAAACCAGGGGCAGTGTCCGAGGGGCAATAAGGTAGTGAGAACACAGAATACCAAGGAATTCCTTCTTGTAGTTGGAGGGCTTCATCTGGCAGGTGCTGAGGGAGGCAATGGGAATGATCCCAACAATATTCCCAGGGCTGACACGGTCTCTCATCCTGTCTATGAAGGTATAGCACTGCCCCTCTGATGGCAGTGTGTCCCCAAGCCTGTCCCTAAAGCTGGGCTCCCTCCAGGAATGCCAGCTCTACAGACCTCATTCTGTAGACATTTCTCAAGTGCCCACTGTGGGCTAGGCACTGTTCTAGATGCCAGGACTACAGTGGTGGTCAAGAGGAGCTCATGTTCCAATGGGGTACACTGGCTCAATGGATATCCACAGACAAATTAATGTCAGATAAATGGTGTGAAGAAAAAGTAGGGTAAGGGGAGAAGGTGATGGGGTGTTGTTTTGGATAAGGTGGTCAGGGGTGATGTCTATTAGGAAGTGGCATTGAACTAGAGACCTGATTGAAGTGAGGGACAGTTATTTGGGGAAAAACATTGGGGCAGATGGAACAGCAAATGCACAGGCCCTTGGTGGGAGTGACTATGGCACATCTAAGAAGTAGCAAGGAGGCCAGAAGAGGTGGAACAGAGTGAGTGAGGGTAGACATGTCAGAGACAATGGGGTGGGTTGGGAGCTTTGCAGTTCGTGTGGTAGGATTCTTTGGATTCTATCCAGGGTGAGGGAGCAACTGGAGGGCTGAAATCAGAGGTAGCAGCATAGAGCTTTAAGGTTAGTCTTCAAACTTAACACCATCTACAGGCCCCTAATACCAGATGCCCAGCACAGGGTTCACATCCAACAGGGGCTTGATAAAATCTTTAGTCTACAGGGAACACTAGCAGGGACCTGCTCTGCAGCGCCTTGGCCCTATCCCCATCCCCAATCATTTATTGAGCACCTACTGTACCCCAGAGACCATATCCAGGAAGCCCTCCAAGGCAACTCTGCCAGAGTTCACCTGGCATTCTCATGGTCCACCAGCCTGGGTGGCCCTGGCTTCCCTGGCCCTGTAGCCATGGCAGATGTTACGGGTCAGGGTGGGGTCTGGCCAGCACCTACCTTCCCGGGCACGGCGATCCTGCAGTGGCTTGCCAGCAGAAGCAGTCTTGTAGAGGAAGCCGCTGTGGCTTACAGTAGGCAGGACAACTGAGTAGTGCTTCTCCAGAGGCTTCATTGAGTCTAGCCGAGGTACCTCTTCGCAGGGGAAGGAGGAAGTGGCTGGTCATGCTTGCCAACCAAGGGTGTCCCCACCTCACTCCCACCCAGGCTGGGCATCCAGGCTTCCTTTCAAGTCCCCAGCCCCAGCTCTCTGACCAGTACCCTCAGGTACTCATTCCCACCTCCAGGGGTCTGCCATTTCTCCACCTTTCCCCAACTGTGGAAATTCCACCCTGTCCCCATGGCCCAACCCTAATACTTCCTCTTCTAGGCATCCTCTCTGACTCCTCAGCCCACCCCACTCTCCCAGTTAGAGGTACAGGGCTGGCACACTTGGATGAGGGGGGCCTTGGGCAAACTTAATAATGATCTCTGGACAGAAACTCATTCCAGGCGGTGTGAAGCTCAAGGGAGCAGCCACCTGGCTCCAGCCCCACTCGCAGTGATCAGCAATGATGGGATTCCACCCTCCCAAGCCCTAGCCAGCTGGGTGGTCTCTTGTGCCTCTCTAGATACCTGGGCTCTCTCCAACCAGTGCGCCCCACCCACCCATGGCCCCAAGCCCAGAGCCCCAGCCACTGAGCTCCACCCTTAGTCCTGGGATATGGCCCTAGAGGCTAGGCCTGGCTGTGAGCAACACCACTTACTCCCCTCAAGCCCTCCTCACCTGCCCTGAAAGTGGGAGCCAAATGGGACTGCACCTCAGTCTATGACTGAGCTCCACCCAGGGCAGAACAATGGACAGGGCTGCTGTGATGGGTCTCCTCAAACACAGGGAAATACACCACCACCCCACACAGCTTCACAGACACACTCTGCATATGCACAAATGCCAAAGCCCTCCATATCCCCAGCTGCAAGGAAACAGATCCACAGGAGCTCAGAGACGCACAAACGCTGGCACATGGACATCACCCAGAGTGGCCCACACTGCTGGTCAGGAAGGGACAACAAATGCACAGAGACACACATATGAAGAGATGCACAAATTTCCACTGACATGCAACCTCAAAAGCACCCACAAACGCACACACCACTGCACCGGGGACCCTCATGGAGCTGCAATCCCAGCTTTGGAACGGTAAGTAAATCAAGTCCTAGCTGACTCCCACCTGCCTCCCCTCCAAAGCGCTAGACCCTGGCATCAGGGTGCCCCCTTCCCTGCAGTGGACAGTCCCACTGGCCACTCACCTGTGCTCCGGTTATTCCGAAGGAATTCCATCTGCAGTGTCTGCCCCGCCTGCTCGGCGAGAGCCAGGGGCGTGGGGGCCTCAGGATCGCCTGAGAAGCAGCTGACCCCTGCCCCACAGCCCAGGAGTGCCTGAGTTTCAGCCAGGTCTGTGGTGGTAACTGCAGCACACAGGGCCTGGGAGGAGGGGAAGGGGGGGGAGGGAGGGTCAGCCCAAGTTGAGAGTGATGGGCCAGCAGGGAATGGGGGTATGGGGGAGGAGAGGAAGGAAAAAGAAGAGGGCACCCAGGTCTGAGGGGGCCTATCCTCATGATGAAACAGAACTGGGAGAAAGAAAGAAAGAGGGCAAGGAGGAGGAAGGGAAGGGCCAAGGAGACGGAGGGTAGCAGTGGTGGGGGTCCCAGCTGCCCAGGCCTCACCCCTGCTGGTGGCTCCCAAAGAGCTGCCCAGCCTGTTCTCTAAAGGACCTCAAACTCCTTCTGCCTTGTGGAAGGGCAAGGAGGGGGTGGGTGTGCTTTGTAGTTAATTCCTCCCACATTTGAATTCCTCACCGCCTGCCCAGCCCTCTCAACCAATAGGAGCCACCGCCACTTCTAGCTGTCGGGCTAGACTGGGCTGGGCTGGGGGCTGGACGCCTGGGTCCTGGGAGGTGGAGGCCTGACTCCCCACTGGGTTTCTAGCTGGAAGGAGCCTGCCTGGGTGGAGTTGCTTGGGGGCGGGGCTGAAGGCAAACCAGAGGTCACAAGTGGCATTCCCCTGCCTCAGAGCAGAGTGCCTCCTGCACAGGTCCAGTCAGATCAGGACACAAGGCTTGGCTCCCAGCCTGTCAGGGCCTGGAGCCCATTTAGGGCCTCATATTGAGGGGGAATAGGGTAGGGGTGGGTCAGAGCAGCCCAGCTGTTTTTCATGAGCCTGACAGGAAATAGCATCCCCATTGAGTTCACTCCTTTTGGCAGGACTCAGAAGAAGCAGGACAGGGTGCAGGAGACAGAGGAATCAGGAAGGATGGGGAGGGATGGGAAGGGTTGGGGAGGGGAGGGGTGTGGAAGGAGGCAGACAGATTCTAGGGATGTGGCCTTGGCCCAAGGGCCAGGCCTGGCTCCTCCCTGCTTTGCCCTAATTCTCTATGTGGCTTGGGCAGCAACCCTCTGCCCTCTGAGCCTCAGTTTCCCCATATGCCAGTTCACCAATCTGGGCTGATTGAAGAGATGTGCTGAGATGGTGAGGAACAGGGTGGGAAGGGAGAAAGGAGGTCCCAGGCAGTGGTCTCACAGAGCTGTGATAATGTAGGGACACAGGGGGCTGTCTCAGGGGCCCCAATGGTGCAGTGCCCTGACCTTGTCCAGCTCCTCCTGGTTGCCAAAGAGCGGGTGGTAGCGGCGGTACTTGCCCTCACAATACTTGGCCTTCAAGTGGCACCGCCGGGCACCAGGGCTGCTGCTGGGCTGTAGGGCCTCACTCGGGGGCACATTGGCTGCCCAGAAGCGGTTCCCAGCACCATTGCCCAGCTGTAAGAAGAGCTATGGAGTGGGCAAAAGGTTAGAAGGGGCAGCATACGGCCAAGGGCCCAAGCCAGGCAAAATCTTGATTTCTGAGGTGGTCAGGTAAGGGACTGGAAGAGCCAGGTCATCTGTCTACTTCCCCAATGGGATAACTGAGGAGCAGTCCGGCCTGGTGTGGCCCTGGGTGCTCCTCCCACCAGTCCTGGGCTCTAAGCCCAGTGCTTCAGCTCAGTGACAAGACAAGACGCAGACATTGACAGGTAGACCCCCCCCCCCAGGCCTGGTGCCTGGTTAGGGGGTCTTGCTGTTGCCCCACCCAGTCTTGCATCTGGAACTCTGCATTCCTGAGGCTATCATGGCTGGGTGGGGGATGTCCTATCTTGTCAGTCAATGGGGCAGCCATGGAATCTGGAAACATCTCCTGTCTCTGACATTGCTCTCTGAAAGGGGTAGGGGCAGATTCTGGAGCCCAGGGGTCCAGCACGCAGGGAATTGGCTTATTCATTCTTTCACTGTGCTGATCATTCATTCCACAGCCATTTCCTGTCTCCTCCCCATCTTGTCCCTTTGTCAGGCCCTGTGTAGCATGCTGGGGGTAACAGCAGAGAACAAAGAGGGAACAGTCTTGCTGTCTCCTTGGGGTGGGGTACGGTGGGTATATTCTTACTTACTGATTCACTCTGTGGGCAAGTTAGTTTCTCTCCCTGGGCCTCAATGTCCTCATCTGTAAACTGGGGATTCTAATCTATAACTCACAAGCTTGTTCTGAAGGTCAATTAATTATCATATGCAAATGCTCTAGCACTTACTTGCTAAGCAGACTGAGGGCCTGCAAAGTAAACCTTACCCTGATGGGGTTGTCAAGAATGCTCTGGTAGGTCCCTGGGCCTAGCCTCTTGTTGCATGTTCTTCTAGCTCCCACACATAGTAGTACCTGGGAACCCCAAATACCCAGGCACAGATGTACAAATATGTATGCACTCTAAAATTGCATACTCAAAACCACTTCTGAGTATACATGAGATGAAGGGTAAGAAGCCCTGAGAGGTATGCAAGGAAGGGGAGAAGGCCCTGGGTCAGCCAGGCAGTGGGACAGAAAGGGACAGGACTTGGTGGTCAATACAGATTTGCTGGATAATCTCAGGTAGATTACAGCCCTATCCAGGGCCTCAGTTTCCACATCTGTACAATGGGATTAAAATTGGACTAGATCAGGAATAAGCAAATTCTTGGCATAAAGGGTCAAACAGTAAATATTTTAGGCTTTGTAGAACACATACAAGGAGCTCTGGTGGTGCAGTGGATAAGGCATTTGGCTGTTAACCAGAAGGTCAGAGGTTCAAACCCACCAGCTGCTCCATGGGAGGAAATAAGGTAATCAATTTACTTCAGTAAAGATTTGTAGGTTTGGAAACAGAATGAGGGTCTCTATGAGTCAGAATCTACTCGATGGCAATGGGTTTGGTTTTGCTTTTTTAGGACAGTCTCTGTTGTCTCTGTTGTACTTTCTTTTTATTTTTTTTTAAAAGAAGCCTTTAAAAAGGCTTAACTTGCAGCCCATGGTTTGCTGACTTTGCCAAAAATCAGCCTTGTCAAAATCCTCACACACTAGATAATCCCAAGTCTCTTCTAGCTCCAGGGGGCTATGGAATGGGGCAGGAGGCTTGGGAGACTCACGAAGCAGTTGAGTGGAGCAGACCCCAGATACAGGAGGCAACCAGGGTCACCTCACCTCAATGAGTGGTTCTGTCCACACCTTCCTGTCCATCTTTAGGCTCCGCACCTTGGAGATGCCAGCACCCAGGCCACGGTGCTCCCCTGCAGGAGAGGGCCAGACTTGGGGTCTTCCTGAGCCTTCCCTTCCACATGGTACTCACTCACCCCCCGAGTTCATCCAGGGACAGAGGGAGAGGCACTTCTGCAGCTCTACCTTTTGTACTGCTGTTGCAGAATCCAGCCATGCACCTCTGCTCCAAGGACTGAGCCCAGTCAACACTGCACCTGACTGGGCAGCAGTAGCCCCTACCTAGCTCCTTACAGCCCAGCTTGGCTCCCTGTAGGCCACTCTCACACAGGCATCAGCCTGATCTCTAAAATGCAAGTCCCCTCACTTCAAATCCATGTTTTAACCTTCCCTGTGGCTCCTCAGATTTAGATCAATTCCTTACCTGCCTTCCTTTCTGACCTCATCTCTAGCTACCACTCCTAGCACCCACCGCCATCAGCCACACTCTCCTTCAAACAGCCCACCCTCATTCCTGCCTCAGAGCCTCTGCACTCAGCCTCTGCACTCACTGGGCTGGCTCTTTCTCCACTTCTGCAGGACTGGCTCCCTGTCATTCACATGTTACTTCTCAGAGAGGGCTTCCCTGACTAACAGCATATTTTCTGCCAGCACTTGTATTACCCAATACTTTCTTGGTTCATATAAGCATTTTCTGTCGTTCCCCACTAGAGTGTAAGCTCCATGGAAGTAGGAACCTTGCCTGTATGGTTTAGGGCACAGTGGGTACTTAAGGAAAGGGAAGGGGAGATGGGGAGTTGGGGCTGGAGGGAATGAAGCTTCACTTAACTAGAGGTCCCACAGGAGACCCCTGGAGTGGGGAGGAGGGCTGGGGGCACAACAAGAGCCTCAGCCTCACTCCTTCTCCAACCTCCTACTGGTGCACCCCCATCCCCCTACCTCCTCCTTATCCTCCCTCCATGAACCAATGCTCCCAATCTGGCCTCCAAGTCATCACATTCCTTCACACAGACTGCAGGGCACAAGGACTCCGGACACTTGCCCTCACTGTCCCACAGGCCTCAGGCTACTTCACTGAGCGCAGCAACTTCCCTTGACCTGTTTTCTCTGAGTCCCCACCTCAGAGGGGGTACTTTCAACCACCCAAAGCCACCACCTGGGCACTGTCAGCTCCCAGGAGGGATGGACTCCCAGCACCTAGCAGTGTCTGACACACAGTAAACCCTCAGTAAATGTTGGTCGAACAGAAAAACGGATCTTGGCTCCACCCTTTCTTTCTTACCCTCCTCATCTGGTCTGTCACTGAGACCTTTACACTGTAGATCTTGAACATCTCTTGAATGCTCTTTATCCCTTCCCTGGGCTACGTCTCCTCTTCCTCCTCTCTCCTGGATCCTTCATTGGCCTCCTGGCTGGTTTCCAATCCACCTCCTACAATTCGGCTTCCACCTACCAGCTAGAGTCTGACCTCAAATCTGACTTCATCTCTCCTCTGTTGAAAGCCCACTCCTGCCTCTCATCCCTCCAAGATAAAACACCAGCTCTTCCTCTGCACGCAGCCCCTTCCACCTTCCCTCCCCTCCTCTTCTGATGTGGCAGGGGCACTGCACCTCAACAGGTCTGGACTGAAACAGACTCATATGTTTGCCATGTGACTCCGAGAAGCCACTTTCCCTCTTTGTGCCTCAGTTTCCCTACCCATGATATGGGAAGTCAAATCCCTGCCTTGCAATGTTGTATAAGGACTGCAGGCTAATCACAGTGGGAAAGCTTGGCATACAGAAGGAACTTCATAAACAGTGGCTCTTCTGACTACCATCTTCACTCCAGCTCCTCCCACCAGACAGGCCACCTGACCTCCTAACACACCAGCCCTGTCTTGCTGCCATTTCTCCTGTCTGAGGCCCTGCCCCCACACACACCTGCACAGCGCTTGCAGATGACGAGGCAGAGGTTGATGGAAGCCCAGTCAGGCTGGGCAGCCCTGCAGTCGGCACAGAACCTGTTGGGGGCTGCAGCCCAGATGCGCTCGGCCACCTCCGAGGTGGACAGGGCCTCAGCAATGGCTCCCTGCATGGCCTCCAGCCACTGCTCCTTCTCTAGTTCCGATTCGGCCGAGAAACTGGGGACACAGAAGTGGGGGGAAAGGGGCTGGTGGGAAAAGGCTTGGAGGGATTTGCAGGCAGTACAAGCATGAAGTGGGGAGCGGAAACAAGGCATTAGGAGCTCATGGTCAGAAGAGGGAGGCAACCAGGTGCTGGTGGGAAGGTCAGCACAGACAAGGGCAAGGACAGCAAAACACTGAGCTTATATGGGTTCTCAGGAACTCTGAGCCCAAAGAACTCTGAGCCAGCCCAGGGAGGAGAGAAGGCTGCTGGGAAGAAATGATGCCTGTGCTAAGGCTTGGCAGGTGAGGAGAACTTACCAGGTGAAAGGGTGGAAGGGAGTTCTGGACAGAGGGAACAGAATGTACAAAGGGGCAGGGTGGCAGTCACAAGGGACAGAATGAAGGGCCTCAGACAAGCAGCCAAAGAAGCAGACACCCAGGGCCAGACAGCCCACAAGCCTAAGCCAAAATGGTACAGGGGCAGGAGGATGGAAACATACAGAGGTGAGAGATGGGATGGAGGGAAGACAAGGGTGGTGGTGGATTTGTACAGGGCTAAGTAGGAGAGGCAATGACCCCCATGGTGGAATGGGGGCCTGGGAGGAACAGTGAGTTGGGAGGAAGTTGAAAGGTGCCCAGGAAGTTGTTAGACATGCCAAGTGTTGAGCTCAGAAGAAAAATCCAGACAGAGATCTGGGCTGGGGGTCCTTAAATGCTGATGATGGTGGTGATGGTAGCGTTTATTGAGCACTTACTACGCACTGTCAGGCAACAGCTTTACAAAGACTACCATGTTCCTACTTCAGAGAGGAGGACACTGAGGCACACAGATGCCAAGTGATTTGTCCAGGTCACCTAGATGATCAGTGGTAGACCCAAGATTTGAATTCAAGCACTGCATATGCCCCAGAGGTAGCAGCTGAAGGCCTGGCAATGGACAAGGCCTACCAGAGAGAGGGTAGAGGTCAGAGACAGACACTCATGAGAGACAGCTGAGATCAGAGGCTGCCAAGAGGATAGAGTCTTGGAAGCTCAGGGAGGTGCATCCAGGCCAGGCCCCACAAGGCCAGCAGTGAAGAGCAGCCCTTGATAACAAAGGAGTGTTAAGGACAGACAAGGACACTTCTGAGGGGGTCAGAGCAGGCTGGTGAGAGCAGTAGGATGAGCAGGCAGTGCAGAAAGCTGGTATGGATGATTTTATAAGTGGGGTGGGAAAGGGGGGATGGTGATGGCCAGAGGAAGGTGGGGTGGAGAGTGGGACTTCTTAAAATGGAAGATCACAGCAGGTGTCTGTGAGCGTAGAGGACCAGACGGTTAGTAAGCTGGGAAGAGAGAACTCCATCCCAGAAGGCAAAGGAGCAACTCCCACACTATGTAAGAAAGAAATGTGAGAGGAGAGGATGCAGGGGTATGTGTAGGATGGGACTCACCTGAAGATGCGGTAGGGTGTGGTGAGGTCAAAGCTGCGCCGGTCTGCTTCCTTCACATTGCCCACGCTCATGTCGATGAAGGTGATGCCAATGCCCAGGTGGTATTCCTGGCAGGTTGGTGTGAACGGGTGAGAGAGGTAAGAGTGAGGCTTGGAGGACAGGGTTCAAGGCTGGGGGGTTTGGGTGGTACCTTAGGGATTAGAAAGTACCTAGGAAGGAGACTAGGGAGGGCTTAGGAATCTGAGCATGAGCAAATGGGCCTGGGTACAGAGGCTAGGCAGGCAATGGTAGGGGGCACAGAAGCCAGGGTGGGAACCAGGTGGCAATGTTCAAGGACTAGGCAGGAGATGGGTCACAGCTCAGGATGAGACGTAGGGGCCATCAAGGGGCTAGGCTTAGGGGAAAAGGGAAAAGGGATCCAAGGTCCAGGTGGGCCCAGGGTGGGGCTGGGAGACCAAGGCGGCATGACGGGGTGCTGAGAGATGAGATGGGGTGGGGATGAGGGACCAGGTCAATAACGGGGCAGAGGGCAGAGGTTCAATGGCTTGGTGGACCCCTTCACACCTCCAGATTCTTGTAGAGCTGCACTTTGTCCCCAACCACAGCCACATACAGCCTATTCTTAAAGCCACGTAGCTCTAGGCTGCCAGAGCAGTCGGGTGGCTCTGGGCCTCGAGCTCCCAACAGATAGGCACTAGACAGCCGGGCCTGGGCACGCTGCTCAGCCACAGCCTGCTGCAGGGCTTGCATCCACTCCTTCCGCTCGGCTGCAGGCAAAAGAAAGGGAGTGAGCCCAAGCCAGGACTGACCAGGAGTCCCTCAGAGTCCCCTGGCCCTAGGCTTCTTGAGTAACACTTCTACCAGCAAGCCCACCCAGACTAGCCCACCTATCTCTCTGAGTTCCCCAACTTAGCTAGGTTCAGGCTCCAATCCCAACTGTGCGACTGCAAGTCTCTTAGCCTATTTCCCCTCTGAGGACTTAGGGAATATCTCAAACATAGAGCCTGTCCCCTTCTCTCTTCCACCTGACATGCCTACAACTCTGCACTGGGTTTGGTGGGGAGGGGAAGGGCAGATGCACCCTGGTTCCTGTCCCTATTATCTGGCCATACTGCCATCTTCTCTTCCCTCCACAATCCTCCCCTCCTGACATTCCCCACCATCACTCTCTGCCCGGAAGGCAAAAGTCCGGTTGTTTGTGATCACTTCAAACTTCTGGTCCCCGATGGCAGCCACGCGGGAGATGCAGGCCACAGGGACAAAGCGCTTGGAATAGACATCCTAGGGAACAGAGATGAGCTGTAGGGTAAGGCCTCCCAGAGGTCCACCCCTCTGACCCCTCTCACCCTCAGGTGAAATGAAGACTGCATCCCTGTTTCCCACAGGTGGTCAGGGACAGTCCCTATGCTAACCCTGACCATGGCCCACTGCTGGCCATTGGGCCAGGAGAATAAGGTACAAGGAGTCAGACTTGGACTCTGGCCAGGACTCATCTGTGAAAGATTCCACCCAAAGATTTGGGGTTCAGTGTAAGGCTAGGCTCAGGTCAGACTAGGGTAGGGGCCAGGTCAGGGACCCACGTGGGCCTCACCTTGTTACTGTCAAAGTATCGCAGGTATTCAGCATCCAGTCTCACCCATCGCTTCTGATAGATATAAGATCTAGAGCGGGACAGGAAGAGGGGCAACAGAGCAGAGGAACTGGGAATGAGGGAAGAGGTTCCAGGATCACCCTAATCCCCTCTGACAACTACACACATTAGGAACAGCCATATAAAGGAAGAAAAAGTTGCAGATGGTCCCTGAGAAGGAAATAGACTTTACCTACAATAAGAGCAATTGAAGTAAGATATAAAGTAGGACTTCCCAATTTTAAGGGCAGTAAAACAGGGCTGGTAGAGATAACAGACATTGCAGTCTACCTAGAAGGAGACCTGCTTAAATCACCTTATTCTCTCTGGTTTTTGAAGCCATGATACCAGTACCCTGGGTGATATCCCATCCCCCCACCACTACCCAAGCAAGCCACTAGCAGGACCCAACAGGCCTCACTCACCCCTGTGGTGGGTTCTTGTCCAGCCAGCCGGCCTTAATGACCAGTGTGACAGGGGTGGGACCCCCAGGCAGCCCGTCCATGGGGGATGGCAGGAGCTCAGGAATCACAGAGTCACTGGGCAAGGGCAAGCTCAGGCTGCCAGTGTGCCATCCACCGCTTAGGGAAGAGGAGGGAGAATGAGGGCACCGGGGGCCATGTGGTCATTACCAGGGACCAGGGCAGGGACCCTCATAGGGTAGGGGATAAGGAGATAGAAGGGCTGGGCTTTGGGAAGGAGGGTGGCTGGGTGGGTGAGCCATACAAGAGAAGTGGACACTCACTTGGGAACACCTTCATAGGCGTGGTCATCCTCATCCTCATCCCCTTGGTCGTCCCCCGACAGTTCCTCCCCCTCACTCAGCAGACTGGCCACTCGCACGGCCCGTGGGACTCGGCTTGGTGGGGGCTCCTCCTGCCCCGCCCAGACCCACTCAGCGTCACACTTCCCCTCAAGTCCCAGATTACAGCCACCCAAAGGCCACCGCACCCCCGCCCCTGTCCACTCCATGCCCAAACCAGACAATTCAGCACTTTTACTTCTGTTTCCTCACAAATACCACCTCCCCACAACCCCCCTGCAAAAGAGGCCACACAGAGATCCAAAGAGACAGGGCCCCAGGCACAGAGAGAATCAGTAGCAGAAGCAGACCTAGGGCAGAGACAAAGACAGAACAACAGAGGGGTCAAGGAAGAGACTCAGGGATAGAGAGACACAGAAAGTGAAAGACAGACGACCAGAGAGATGGACAGCTACTCTGAGACAGATGTGCTCAGAACACGGGGGAGGGAGCACACACATCCAGATACAGCCAAAGACTGCAGCCAGAGCCACAGAGGCCTCAGACTCCTGGCACAGAGTTCATGGGCTATGCTTGAACCCTGACATCTATCTGGCCAGACAATGACTCTCGGCCCCATTCTCTTTTTGGTAGTCCTCAGGACAGGGTCCCTGCAGCCCCCAGGATCTGAAAGGGCGTTAGGCAGCTCTCTCACCCTCCCAACAGGCAGACAGACAGACCAGCCCCTAAACACTGCCCTACCTTCTTAGTCATCACGCTGGCTGGGGCCCCTGGCCCCTCCTCTGGGATCTCATCGTAGTCAGAGTCATCTAAGAAAGACAGGGATTGGGGGAGAATCAGAAACAAGATGCCTGCCCTCCTCTCTTGGGGTACTTCAGCCTGGTTTCACAAAGGCCACCCCCAGTCTAAGAAAGACCTCAACCCTGACCCTAGCCTGGTTTTCAAAAAAGGCACAAGGGACAGGAAGTGCTATTTATACCCCCAGGACCTTGTGGTATGCACTAAGGGGCACCCTGAGAAGAGGCCAGCGACCAAAGGGAGGTTTGACCTTATGGGGCTGGGGCAGGGATTGCTCAAAAAATGCGAAGGAAAAAAACAAGATAATCAGAGAATCAAGAGAAGTAGACAACCCCAGGGAAAGCAAACCACTCAGACCATGGAAGATATTCCCAGACTTTAAACCATGGGTAACTCAGAAAGTTTGCCATGTCCCCACACTTTAGTCAGTAAGTCAAATAGATGGCTACTGTCTCCATTTTGAGGATGAAAAATTGATGCTCAGAGAGATGAGTGACTTGCCAGGAGCTGTATGGTGGGTCGGTGGCACAAGCAGAATTTGGCTCAGGTATTGAACAATGTGACTCAGTGTCTGGGCCTGGCAGAAAGGGGAGTGTGATCCTTGCACACACTCAGGAGATCTGGACCCTGAGGACCCACCTAGAGCCCTGTCCCCCTCCCTGGCTACAGTACTCACCAAACTCTGGGAACAGGCGTACAGGCTTTGGGGGGATCTCCGGGAGACTGGGAGGTAGAGATAGGGGTTGGGGAGGCCCCCAGGAAATGGTGGATGGGGGCTCTTCAAGCTCTGGCTGGGAAGTGGATGACAGTGATGGCAGCAGTAACTCTTCCTCCTTGGAAGGAAGGCTGGGAATAGAACAGAAGTTGGGCAACAAGGGGTTAGCTCAGTGTGGCTGGGTCACGGGGCCAATGTCACATAGCTAGTAAGCCATGGAGCCAGGACTCAAACCCACTGAGCTGCCAGCTCACCTGAGCTGCAGCAAAACTCCTGCAGATAGGTACACGCAACCCTCACTCCCCCACCCAACACCCTTCCTAGCTCCCAAAAGACCAAGAAAGTAAGCACTCTCTTTGGCCTGCATGAGTTGGTCCCATGTTGCTATGACAAGGTTACCTCTGCCCAGTGCTCTAGCCACATGTACCCACTGGGCTCTGCTCTCAAGGATCGATAAAGACCAAAATTGGGGAGAGGGAAACCCCAGCTTGGGCACTCAGGGGAGGCTTTCTGGAGGAGGCGATGCTTCAACTGAGCTTTTAAGGGTAGGAAGGTATTTGTTGGCAAAGGGAAGACAAGGACAGCAGGATTGAAATGGTCACTGAGGTCAAGGGCATAAACCTTTGAAACTAACTCCTGAGTTCCCCAAATATAAGTCTCTAGATAAAGACCACCTTCTCTCCTGCCTCAGATTTGTGTATTCACCACCTCCTGGGTACCCCTCAGATACTCACTTCATCCCACCAATCTCTTCTCTTACAACATGGCTCCTCATCTCTGCTATCACTCCTACCAGAATGTCTTCCCTGGCTCCCTGAGGCCAGACTCGGGGCTCCCCTGACCCCCCAGCCATAGGGCTCCTTTCTGTCTGTCACGGCATTGATCACACGGTTCCCTACAGGTGGCATGTCTCCTGAAAGGCTTTGGCATCAAGGATTTGGCCTCTTAGTTCCTGTGTGTCTTGATCCAAGCACCTAGCCCCTCTCAGCCTTGGTTTCCTCTTCTATCAACTGGACACTGTATTACTAACCTGGCCAGGTGGCTGGAAGATTCACCAAGACAAAGTATATCCTGTACCAGGAGAGCCCTGGAGGCCTAGACACACCTGCTGTCCCTGCCAATGTCCCACAAGGGCCAAGTGGAACATTAATGAGGGCAGCAACTTTTCCTACAAGTTAGTTTCACCTGGGGCTGTTGCCTAACCTTCCTAGCAGTGATCGACAGTTTGTGACTCCTGCCAAAGCAAGCAAGGACTAGGCAGGAGCAGTGGGATCTGCTGGGTACAATTACAAGGCCAGGCTTGGCGCCTGCTCAGCTCCACCAGGAATGCTCTTCTCCCTGTTCTCTGTCTGGGGAACATCTGCAAATTCAAGTTCACCTTCGCCGAAAGCCTTCCCTGACCTGTTTCCCTCTATGCTCCCCTCACCCTCCATTATGAGTTTTATACGAAGGATTAAAACAAACAAACAAAAAAAAAAACAGTTACCATCAAGTTGATTCCAACTCATGGTGACCCCTTGTGTATAGAATAGAACTTCTCCAAAGGACTTTCAAGACTGTGATCTTTCAGAACTAAGTCACCAGGCCTTTCTTCTGAGGTACCTCTGGGTAGGTTGAAACTGCCAACCTCTGGGTTAGCAGTTCAGCACTTAATCATCTGTGCCACCCAAGGGTCCTACAAAGGATTACAGATCATTTTTTTAAGCATCTCTTGGGCCAAGATTTGAATTCTAACCTCCAATGCCATAGTCCACGTGCTTTTTAGGACCTGTGGCTATTTCCATCTCCCCATGCTAATATCGGGAGGTCTGGTAGCGCAGTGCTTAAGGCATTTGACTGCTAACCAGAAGGCTGATGGCTCAAATCCACCAGCCACTCCTTGGAAGGAAGATTGGGCGATCTATTTCCTTAGTGATACCTCCTCAGAAACCTAAGGAGGGGTCATTATGAGTCAAATCAGACTTGATGGCAGTGACTTTGATTTTTGGTATACTGATGTCAGATGGATTTTGGCTGAAAGCAGAGAATACCAGAAAGATGTTTACCTGTGTTTTATTGACTATACACAGACATTTGACTGTGTGGATCATAACCAATTATGGATAACAGTGCTAAGAATGAGAATTCCAGAACACTTAATTGTGTTCATGTGGAACTTGTACATAGACCAAGAAGCAGGTGTTTGAACAGAACAAGGGGATATTTCATGATCTAAAATCACGAAAAGTGTGCATCAGGGTTGTATTCTTTCATCATACTTATTCAATCTGTATGCTGAGCAAATAATCTGAGAAGCTGGACTTTATGAAGAGGAACGCAGCATTGGAGTTGGAGGAAGACTCATTAACAACCTGCAATATGCAGATGACACAACCTTGCTTGCTGAAAGCAAAGAAGATTTGAAGCACTTACTGATGAAGATCAAAGACTACAGGCTTCCTTTTGGATTACAGCTCAAAATAAAACAAAAATCCTTACAACCGGACCAGTAAGCAACACTGTGATAAACAGAGACAATAGTGAAGTTGTCAAGATTTCATTTTACTTGGATCCACAATCAATGCTCATGGAAGCAGCAGTCAAGAAAATAAACAGCATACTGCATTGGGAAAATCTGCTGCTAAAGACCTCTTTAAAGTGCTTAAGAGCAAAGATCTCACTTTGCAGACTAAGGTACGCCTGACTCAACCCATGGCATTTTCAATTGCTTCATATGCATGTGAAAGCTAGACAATGAATAAGGAAGACCACAGAAGAACTGATGCATTTGTATTGTGGTGTTGGCAAAGAATACTGAATGTACCATGGACTGCCAGGAGAGTGAACAAATCTGTCTTGGAAGAGGTACAGCCGGAATACTCCTTAGAAGAAAGAACGGCCAGACTTCATCTCTCATACTTTGGTCATGTTGTCAGAAGGGACCAGTCCTTAGAGAAAGATACCATGCTAGGTAAAGTAGAGGGTCAGCAGAAAAAGGGGAAGACCCTCAACAAGATGGACTGACACAGAGGCTGCATACCAGGCTCAAGCATAGCAACTACTGTGCAACTGGGTCACTGTGAGTTAGGACCGACTTGAGAGCACCTAACAGTAACAGTAACATGGGAGCTCTGATGGCGTAGTGCCTAAGGCATGTGACTGCTAACCAGAAGGCTGGCGGTTCAAACCCACCACCCACTCCTCGGAAGGAAGGTTGGGCAATCTACTTCCGCAGTGATACTGCCTCAGAAATACAAGGAGGGGTTGCTGAGTCAGAGCCAACTCAATGGCAGTGGGTTTTTTTTTTTTTTTTTTGAACAGTAACATAATTGTCTCTCCATCTATGGGTAAAGGGTTACCAAACTCTTCTACTCTGTGTGAGAACTTCAGATGGCTATCTTCAGATACCTTTCTAGCTCTGTTCCCCTAGAAACTGGCTATAGTAGGTGTGTCAACCATGTTACTAGGCAATACTGCTTTTGGTAAAAATGTCCTGACTGAGGAACTGCATGTGGCCTAGAAGAAACTATAAACAAACTCCACACCTGAAGGAGATGTCATAGCTTGGGGCTTCCCTGCAGGTGGTCACTGGGCATATGTTTTGCAGGGATCTATCTGAAGCCAGGCCTGTGGAGTTCTTACAAGAGACACTGGCTCCCTGGGACAAGAAGCTTTTAAGCCAGGGTGGCTCCAACACCTGTTCACTGAGAGTTTCATTTCCTCACCTTTGAGTTGTCACCTGAGGGGCCACAGAGAATGTTCCCGGATGGCTGTGTGACGTGCACAATGAGCTCCTACAGAGAACAATACCTGACGTGGCCCAGCTATCAAGCTGTTTCCCACCCTTACTACTGCTAAGCGAATTTGATGCCAAGTGTAGCCTCTGGTACTCTTGATCGTCTGAATGTTTAGTAGGACCTAAGAAGAATTCCGGGAGCTCTGGTAGCATAGTGGCTAAGACACTTGCCTGCTAACCAGATGGCTGGCAGTTCAAACCCACCAGCCACTCCTCGGAAGGAAGGTTGGGCAATCCTACTTCCGTAGTGATACTGCCTCGGAAACCCAAGGAGGGGTCGCTATGAGTCGGGGCCGACTCGACGGCACATAACAACAACAACAACAACAAGAAGAATTCCTGGTAGGCACTGTAACAGGCTGTTTCTCCACTTGACCATGAGTCTCTTTAAGGCAGGGGCAGCATATGACTTGCCTTAGTATCCCCATGACCCATCACAAGGCCCCGCTGAGTCAACAATAAGAGCATGTTAGATGGGTGGGTGGGTGGATAGGCTGGCAACAAATGGAGGGAGGGAGGAAGAATGGGTAGATGGATGAATGGTTGGTTAGGTTGATGGGTGGGTGGACAACTTGATAGATGATGGGTGAGTAGGTGGATAGGCAGATGGACAGGTGGACAGATAGGTGGGTAGGTGAATGACTGGGTGGGTAGAAAGGTGGACACGTTGATCATTAGGACTAGGAGGAAAGTAAATGAAAGAGTGAATGATGACAAAAGTGGCTGGGTGCCTAGAGACCAGACAGAGAATGACCTGGACAAACCCATGGTTGGAACTTGGCCCAGCTGGTCAGATACAATGTCCTTGGGGACCTCTTGACAGGTAAATCAATCCATTATACTGCTGCCTCAGAGCCCAAGAGGAAGGGGTCCTTGGGAGCCAGGCCTGTAATCAGTTGGGAGCAGAATCTCAAGCTTCTCAGGCAGGGCCAGACAGATTGTGCTCTAGAGGAAGCAGAGAAAGCCTCTGTCCTTCCAGGACCAAGCAGGGCTGAGGGGGCCTAGCTTCCAAAGCTCCCCAGGGCTGGGCCACGGCTGAGGGGAAGGTGGCAGCAATAGGGAATCTGCCCACCTGTTCCTCCTCGTCCTCAGGGCCCAAGCAGCATCAACCCTCCCATCCCAGTCTATGTTTCCACTGCTGTCCTTATCATCCTGGGAGGTGTCCGCCTATCCTGAAGCCTTCCTCCCTAGCATGTGGGCTCCCTGAGGCAAGCTCCACATCTATCTTGTTCATCTGTGTTCCCAGTACTCAGCAGGAATTTATAAATAAATGAATACCTAGATTAAATAATCCTTATTAAGTAAAGATAGTTATTAATAGATGAATGCCTGGATCAACTAATTGTTATTAATTAA